GGAAAAGGAGTTTGCATGTTCTCTCCGTGCATGCGTGGGTTTTCTCCAGGTACTCCGGTTTCCTCCCACAGACCAAAAACATGCATGTTAGGCTGATTGGTAACTCTAAATTGTCCCTAGGTGTGAGTGAGAGAGTGAATGGTTGTTTGTCTCGTTTGTCTCTATGTGGCCCTGTGATGGACTTGCGACCTGTCCAGGGTGTACCCCACCCCTCGCACAGTGATTGCTGGACATGGGCACCGGCGACCCCCGTGACCCAAAATGGAATAAACGGGTAAAGATAATGGATGGATGGATGGATGGATGGATGGATGGATGATTGTTAAAAAAATTATTAGTTGTTCGTTATACTAATAAAAAAATGTGAATTATTATTTGGAAAAGGAGTTTGCATGTTCTCTCCGTGCATGCGTGGGTTTTCTCCGGGTACTCCGGTTTCCTCCCACAGACCAAAAACATGCATGTTAGGCTGATTGGTAACTCTAAATTGTCCCTAGGTGTGAGTGAGAGAGTGAATGGTTGTTTATCTCGTTTGTCTCTATGTGGCCCTGTGATGGACTTGCGACCTGTCCAGGGTGTACCCCACCCCTCGCACAGTGATTGCTGGACATGGGCACCAGCAAGCCCCGTGACCCAAAATGGATGAAGCGGGTAAAAGATAATGGATGGATTATTTAGAAAATTCCATCCATCCATCCATTATCTTCCACTTGTTCCCAAGTCGAGTCGTGGGGGCAGCAGCTTGAGCAGGGAGGTCCAGGCATCTTTTTTCCACAGCCACCTCTTCCAGCTCTTCTGGGAGGATTCCAAGGCGTTCCCAGGCCAACCGAGAGACATAGTCTCTCCAGCGTGTCCTGGGTCTTCCCCGGGGTCTTCTCCCAGTCGGACATGCCCGAAGCATCTCCCTAGGGAGGCGTCCAGGGGGCATCCTTACCAGATGCCAAAACCACCTCAACTGGCTCCTCTCAATGTGGAGGAGCAGCAGTTCTACTCCGAGTCTCTCCCGGATAACCAAACTTCTTACCCTATCTCTAAGGGAGAGTCCAGCTACCCTGCAGAGGAAACTCATTTCAACTGCCTGTATTTGCAATCTCATTCTTTCGGTCACTACCCAGAGCTCATGACCATAGGTGAGGGTAGGAACATAGACCGACCAATAAACAGAGAGTTTTGCCTTACAGCTCTGCTCTCTCTTCACCACAACGGACCAGTACAGAGTCCACAATACTGCAGACACTGCATCAATCCATCTGTCACTCGCACGCTCCATTCTTCCCCCACTTGTGAACAAAACCCTGAGATACTTGAACTCCTCCACTTGAGGCAGAATCTCACCCTCGATCTGGAGAGAGCAATCCATCCTTTTCTAGTTGAGGACCATGGCCTCAGATTTGGAGGTGCTGATTCTCATCCCAGCCGCTTCACACTCATCTGCGAACCGCTCCAGTGAGAGCTGAAGATCATGGCACGATGACGCCAACAGGACCACATAAGCTGCAAAGAGCAGAGATAGAATCCTGAGGCCACCGAACCAAAAACTCTCCGCCCACTGGCTGCACCGAGAAATTCTGTCCATAAAAGTTATGAACAGAATCGGTGACAACGGGCAGCCCTGGTGGAGTCCAACTCTCACCTTGAAGGGGTCCGACTTACTACCGGCAATGCGAACCAAGCTCTCGCACCACTTGTATAGGGACTGAACAGCCCGAAGCAACAGGCCCCCAATCCCATACTCACGGAGCACCCCCCACAATGTACCCCAAGGAACACGGTCGAATGCCTTTTCCAAATCCACAAAACACATGTAGACAGGATGGGCAAATTCCCATGACCCCTCAAGGACCCTAGTGAGGGTAAAGAGCTGATCCAGGGTTCCACGGCCAAGACGGAACCCACATTGTTCCTCCTGGATCTGAGGCTTGACCAACAATCAGACTCGCTTCTCCAGTACCCCTGAATCGACCTTACCAGGGAGGCTGAGGAGAGTGATGCCCCTATAATTGGAGCACACCCTCCGGTCTCCCTTTTTGAAGAGGGGAACCACCACCCCAGTCTGCCTATCCATTGGCACTGCCCCCGATGTCCATGCAATGTTACAAAAGCGTGTCAACTAAAACAGCCCCACAACATCCAGAGCCTTAAGGAAATCAGGGTGAATCTCATCCACTGCCGGAGCCCTGCCGCCTCTGAGATTTTTAACTACCTCAGTGACCTCAGCCACAATTATGGATGGATCAACCCCAAAGACCCCCGACTCGGCTTCCTCCATGGAAGACGTGCTGGTGGGATTGAGAAGGTCAGAGAAGTATTCCTTCCACCTCCCGACGACATCACTGGTTGAGTTCAACAGCAGCCCACCTTCATTGAACACAGTGTTAGTAAAGTGCTGCTTTCCCCTCCTCAGTCGTCTGATGGTTTGCCAGAATCTCCTTGGAGTCGACCAAGAGTCGTTATCCCAGGTCTCACCGATCTCCTCCCACATCCGAGCTTTTGCCTCTAAAACAGCCAAAAGCTGCGGACTGCTTGGCCCTCTGGTACTCCTCGGCTGCCTGTGGAGTCCCACTGGCCAACAAGGCCCGATAGGACTCCTTCTTCATCTTGACAGCCTACCTAACCTGGGGTGTCCACCACCGAGTTCGTGGATGACCACCACGAGAAGTACCAACAACCTTGCGGCCACAGCTCAAGGCAGCCACTTCAACAAGTGAGGTGCGGAACATGGCCCACTCAGACTCAAGGTCCCCCACCTCAGCTGTGATGTGGTTAAAGCTCTCCCGGAGGTGCAAGTTGATCTCTTTGACAGGTTCTTCTGCCAGGCGTTCCCAGCAAACCCTCACTACACGTTTGGGTCTACTGGGTCTGTCCGGCATCTTCCTCTGCCATTTGATCCAACTTACTACCAGGTGGTGATCAGTTGATAGGTCAGCTCCTTTCTTAGTTAGTCTTAGTTAGTCTTGTTCATTGTTGGGTCATTGTTGGGTCTATCCTGTCCTGTCTTGATGTGTTCCAGTCTTGCCCTGTGTTGTACTACCAATAACGTGTGTAAGTTTGCTGTCACATCAGCCTTTTGATTTATTATTATTAAATATATATTTTTTGTACATCCTGAGTTTGAGTCCCTGCCTGCAACTATTGGGTTCGTTCCTGCCTGAGAAATCCTGACCGAACGAAGCAACCATACTAGAACCCAGCGGGCAGGGGTTCTCCTCAGTTTTCACTCACCTGCCTGTACAAGCCACAGATGGAGGAGCCCATAATACGGTGCAGCGGGTTCTGAATTGAACCTATCCAAACACGAGGACGCCACTGTTCGGCGATTGAAGTCCTGTCTTCGCCTCTCCTGGTTCTGGAAGAAGAGAGAGGATCTTGGTTCTAAGAAGAACACCAGGTACCCAAGCCAAGCTTCTCCTCACCTCCAGCACCGTGCGCCTACTTGGGGTGGACGTTGGGGGAGGATGCAGAGCTGGAGGACGAGCTCTGCTTCATTCCTGTCCTCCTTCCCACTGTCCCCGCCGGGGCAGCAGAAAACGAACCCGGAGACAATCTACGGGACCTTCACCAGCATCCCCGACAGCTGATCCAACTCTGCCCAGCGATGCTGCATTTCCGGGACATTGTTCCGGTGTTGCTGAGAGAGCCGAGTGAGATGCCTCACATCCTAGGACCCCAGTGAGGGTGGAATCTGACACCTCACTCCTGCACAAAGCTCCAATGAGGATCAGTCCTGTCACCACTCAGCTCCAGCCCCCACCCAGCTCTCCTTAGATGGAACCTGAAACTCTGGGGAGAGTTTTGCCAAAGAAGG